AACCTATGTTTGCTTTAAATAGCAGGGTTCCTTCAGTGATATGCAAGTAAATGTATAATTATTATATTTATCGGAGTTAGCATCTGATTTTTCCCTCAACATGTCCTTCCTTGAAACTAGTTGTAATGCAAGTGTTTTTCAACTTAAGGCCTGTGCTGTCGATTTCGCCACCACTTGGACTGCCGCCCGTGCTGATGACTGATCTAAAGTTAATTGCGGCCATTTATGTGTGTACGAACACACAAATGTGTGGCTAAGTGGCAGATTATTTTCGCAATCCCCACTCCCAATATTCTTCTCTGCGTCCAATTGCTCAATAATTTGCAAAATTTCTGCCTGGACAATGATTGATTGTTGATGCAAAGCTTATTGGCTATTTGCCAAACTACAGGACAATGGATGAAGTTGGGATTGGAAACAGCTGTTAACTGCACCCGAGTCCTAATTCCTATCGAGATGTGGAATGTTGAAAGATAATAAATGAAGTCTCGTGGGATAAAATTGTTTAATTCATTGTACTTGTAGGTCTTTAGTTAAAACGAAAATTTCCAGAGTTTCCCAGTGATTAGAAGATGATTCTTCACCACTGTGCGACTCATGCTCTTTCAAGCGTTTCTCTTGAAATTGAAAACTTATTCATTTGTTTTACCTTCCACGTAGTAAATGATGAATAATATTTTATTGCAAGGCTGTGCAAGCTGTGGAAGGGGATTTCTATTGAAATGCACATCTTCTAGAAATATATGCTGCCTCGAAGAAATTCTAAAGTGGCTAGCAAAAATGCTGAAATGAATGTACGCTCTGCTCGTTTCTGGTTTAGTTATTCAAAATAATTGTTTTACATACTAGGAAGATATGAGAGCTGCAGTAATTACGAGAAATGAGTAAGCTCTTGAAAATATAAAATAAAACTTTCATAAGCTATTAAGAAACCGCTGTAACTCATGATTCCATTTCCTCATAAGTATTTAGCATTTTGCGTTTTCAGAATGACTTTAGATATGCTTTAAAATGTTTGTTTGCGATAACTTAAATTTCCAATATTTTTGGATAAACAATTAACTTTTCATTATCAAAAAAGAAGGAGGCTTTTGACATTAATGAAAGTAAATATCAATAATGTTGCAATATTAGTTCATAACAATGTTTGAAAAAGCCTGATAGAGTGCTGCCATATAAACTAATCTCATTTCAAATGGCAGAACCACGTCAGCATCCTTGCTGGCTGCCTGCTTGCGTGGTTGTTTTAGGCCATGAGTTGGCCTGGTCCAGCCTAAAAGCCATCATCATGCTTCAAAATGGCGGGGCGCCATAACTTAACTAAATGACGGGGCCGCACATAAAAAGTACAGCAAACCCAAGCAAATACCAAAAATTATTGTTATCAGGCTGCAGCACACACAGAAGCACACATTCACACTCATATACTTGTATATATCTAAGTATATATACATACATACTTATATACAAGTATGTATGTTTGTAGCGGTCGGTACATCCAATATATGCGACAATGACGAAAATTTTAAACGAGTCATGGCCACAAAGGCTACGAGTAAGTATGTAGCTAGGAGGCTTAAACATTCATTGTTTTATGCGCCTGTGCTCCATAAAACAAATGGATGCCATTTTTTGTTTCTTTTTTTTCTCGCGCGGCCATTTTGTGATTATGCTTGATTTTCATTTAGATGATAGACGATGCGTCGGGCAAGCAGCTGACCCAGTTAATAGGCGACAAGCGCGCAAACACTGGCATCACATGACCAGCTCGAAGAAGGGCTTTCAATTTTATGTGCCTCCACCCTCTTCCCAGCCAGACCGGAAATAAAGCCATGCTTGTGTGTGAGCTGTGTGTGTGTGTGGGCTGTCAACAAGCCATTAAAGGTTTATTTTTATGAGCACATGCTTCAATTTCTTCTGATCTCTGTTGTGGCACAGCCGACTCAACACCATTTTGTTGCGTGCGTGATTTTATAATTTTATTTCAAGGCAAGCCTTTCGGAGCTCGTCTGTTGGAATGTTGATAAAACAGCACTTCTCTGTCACTACTTGTCAACTTATGTCGCTAATTTTTCAAACTCCTACTGCACTTAAGCTGTCTTGACACTACCTCACCACCGATAGAATCAGGAGCTACGTGTGCGAGCTTCTGGAATTAGAAAAGCTTTATCGAAAGGTAAAAGTCCAAGTATTGTTAAACCATTAGAGATTCAATGACGCTTCCCTATAGACATAATTAATATTTTAAATAGTTTCTTTACAAAAAATCAGCTTTTAAAAAAATTATAAACAAAAAAATTTTTTATTTCCATGACCTTCAATGATTGGTTTGGTTTTAAAAAAATCTGGTTTTAAAAACAATATTTTCTTGGTTAAATTGAATGAAATATCTGTTTTAATGTTTTCATAGAAATTCTAAATTCTTAGAATCTCATAATTTATAATAATAATATGAGATTCTTGTAAAAATAATAATAGAAAACTCACATTAAATTCAAGTTAAAGTTAAAAATGTTTAATTCTGTGCTTGATTTATGAGTTCATCCAAATTCACTGCCTCTTCGTCAGACTAATAAACGCGGTTGCTTACTAAAACTTTGTTTATACATTTTAGACATTTCTTAACGCAGCGAAGACAAACTAATAAAAGAAACAGCTGATTCTCGATATATGGTGAAAACTAAAGTAAAGCTAAAAAAAAGGCTAAATAAATATTTTTAAGGCTAGAATTGCTGCAACCCGCAATTTTCGAATTTGTCCAGCACTGGAATTTTAAAAAAATGACGATCTGGCAGGAAAAAAGGTAAATTGGCAGCACTGGGTGCTTCGCTTTGCAACGCATTGCGACGGAACCATTATTGCAATGTTTTGCGGTTTCCCTCAGTTTGTTGACTGCTTTGCCGACGCGACGCTCTGCTTTGCAGGGACTTTGAAGGCACGCTTGATGCTCATGATCTCTTGCTGGCCCTTCAATTAATTTTAGTTCTCAAGTCACAGGCATTTCCTCTCAAAGCATTTGCAACATATGGGCACGCAATAGAGAGAGGTAGAACTAGAGAGGTATAAGGAAGCCCGAGTCGAAATTTCGTAATCGCAATCAATCAATGCCCATAGCTGTACATAGGCGGGCGTTGATTTGCCAACAGTGCGGCTGATTAACGTGATAGCTTGTTCGAGCCTTATGTTGGTCAGTTAGGAGGCCATGAAGGTGATTTAGAGTGGGTGCAATTAATTGCTTATTAACAATATCACTATTCATTAATTCTTCGTATTTGTTGCTTTTTGTGGAGCTATGCGGCAAGGCGAAAATTAATTAGGCGTGTCGTCAAACTTTTGACATTTTCACAAAATTTGATCAATTAATTGAGTAACGGCGCAGAGTATGGAGCATGCCACACACACACAAAATAAATAAACAGGCAGCTACTACGCTGTCAAAGCCAGCGAATGTTGCATTGAAAAACATAAACACGAAAAGTCAATTTCGAATCTGGCAAGGCAAGGGAGCAGGGCCCCCAACTAACTACCACCTTGAAGACAATTTGGGAGCGCGTCGAGGCAGAAATTGACTGCTAAGGGGGCCGCAAAAGAAGACCGGAGAGGGGGGAAGGCCCAAATCTGCAATCAAAATCAGACTAACCTGCATACCGATTCTCAGCTCGGCCCCCAAGAACAGCAAATTCAATTCAATCACTCGCTCATTCGCTCACTCGCTCACTCACTCGTTCGCTTGCTGGCAACTTGTTTAGCATTAAATCAAAATCATTACCTCTATAAAGCATCAGAGCAGCCACTCGACGGCATCGGCGGCATTTTCGTCTGCCAAATAAACCTTTAACTTTATCAAAGGCGCTAAATTTCACAAAGTGTCGTTGGCATCGCCAAATCAAATGCAAACAAGACGCGAGCAAACAAGAATCCCTAGACCCCCTTCCGCCTTAACAAACCCACCAATTTTATGTGTGTGTGTGTGTGTCTGTGTGGCACAGGCATAAATTTTTCCCAGTTGGGGAGTACGTGCCGCGTAGCCGGCTAAAGGATTAAAGCAACACACGGAGCGCACAGACGCGCCCACGTTGCGCGTCCTTGAAAGAGACACAGAGCTTTGCCTGCCTACACGTATCAGTTTCGTTTGTGTTGCCCTATTTTGATGGGCGTGGTGTCTATCCGGTTATTGCCTGCCTAGAAAGCAAAAGTTGCCAAATGTGTTGGCGCTTGATTCTCGCTGCCAACTGTCTTCGATGTTAATGTCTTTGGGTATTAGTTGGCGAGTCTTCTTTGAGAACACCGTGCTACAACTGTCGCCTAAGTGCCAAAGGATTATTAAAGCAGTTATTGAAAGGCAACGAATTGAATCGTTTGGGGAGTGTTTTATGCGGCCAGTTGAAATAGAGAACAAATGGTGGCAGCCTGGCCGCAGTCTGTTTGTTTATATCCTTCATACACGTATGTCCGAAAAGTAAACGGAAAAAGGTAATTCAGGAATATGGGACACCAAAAGGGTGGGTACTAAGTAGTCCAGTAAGTTCGAAAGACTTGGCCATAGCCAGATCGCACCCAGATACTGCACATGCCATTCTGGGAGCAAAGGTTGAAATGAAATGTCTTTTCTGATTTACAGACAAATTCCATCGAATCTTCAGCTTCTACTTTCTCGACAAATTCAACAAAGTTTATCCATTGTTTTTCAAAAACTTGAGAACTCAAGCTGTTGTGCATTCATTTGTATTTCATTTTTGATTCATTTTCACGGTATGTCTTGAATTAGGCTATTTTGGTTTAGTCATGCTTTTTAACTGTGCAAATTGTGAGCAGAGTCCTAACAAGTCAACAGCAAATCAATTCGCTTGCAAGAGTATTTGTCTATTTTTCGCTATCTAAGCCTACGAAAATTCGTCTTCTTTTATGCAATAAAAGAGGGATTGCTTTGATGAGTTTTGCAAGTGCTTGCCAATTGCCAACTTTTGTGACTCTATCCTTTTGCCTGCCTTTACTTTCAGCCAACACATAAACCGCGGCGAACACATCAGCACGCCATGGTCTACCCCCATGCACCCGATGGGTCCAATGCGCTCGACGAGGAGCTGGCGAACGGAGCCAGAGCAGGAGTGGGAGCGGGAGTGGCAGTTGGAGCCGAAGTGGAGATGACGTCTGCGAATGCCACTGCGAACGAGAAGAAAGTCAATCAACGTCAGTACGAGCCGCGTGAACGCTTGATTATCACCAAAAACGTGGTTGTCATTGGTTTGGCATTCATGGTACACTTTACGGCCTTTCACGGCACGTCGAATTTGCAGAGTTCCGTGAATGCGGACAAGGCGCTGGGAACCACTACTCTGGCTGTCATTTACGGATCACTCATATTATCCAACATATTCCTGCCAATGACGGTGATTAGGTAAGTTCGTGGGCTTATTCTGCCTTCCTTTTTAGTGTGTATTGCCTGCCTGTCTGGTTTTGCTCTTCGATGTTAAGCATAGAAAATAAAGGCCGACCTACGAGGGTTATGTACAGAAGATGGTATTTTTTAAGATGCCTGACTCTCAGATCCATAGGAAAATAGCTTATTTTTTTTGCAAAACTGTGTCCTCTAGGGCGCAGAATATTGGTCCCTAAACCCACTAAAAAATTGCTTTAAAAAACCAATAACCATTTATATATCTTCTGAGAATTTCTTCATTTATTCTTTATCAATTGGTCTTCAATTATTTTCTATGATTTTACTTTTAGAAAATTTTATAGTTCTGAAGAATTTGTTTGAGACACCAATACTGGATTGTAAGTTATATCGTTGCAAGCATTCCTACAAATAATCTTTTCCCAGAATTTCTCCCCCCTAGCCAGTCATGGCACCCATTGTAATGGTTTTCGTGTGCCTGTTGACTTGGCCAATGGAGCGTGCTCATAATTTATGGCAACTATAAATGTTTGTTTATTTGAGGCGCCATTATGCAAATGTGAAATACTCATGGACATTTGATCGGACAGACTCGAATGGCTACGAGTTTGACTGTGAAGTGCCTCTTGGCAAATGTTTGACTGTGTGTCGAGCAAACAGTCGACCATTTACATAAAAATATACGCATATGGAAAAGTTTTCAAACACAGCTCATCAGTCTGATGCGTTGCCTACAACGAATTTCTCTTCTCCTTCGTTTGTTCGTAATCTGAAAAGTAGTGCTAAAGAAATTTAAAAGAACAGATATTATGTACACGGAATGTAATTCGTTTTTAAAGTGAAACTTGATGTCTGAGCTTCTTAAAAGCTGGATTGGCAACCTTTTCGGTAACGAAACTAATGGCACATGGCACATCCTAATGCACATTGAAATAATGGCGCAATCGACAGCAGTTGATTTGTCTTCCTACTTATTTATGCCTTCTTGGTACAACTTCGTTTTTGAGAGTCGCTGTTTTTTTAGAAACGAAAACGAAGTGCGTTTTCTGAAGTTCTTGAAATCTGAATCGGCAACCTTTCTAGCCATTTTTAGCTGGTGTTCAAGCTATTTATATGGGTCTTTCTGGCCATTTCCTAGCGGTTTTCTTGCTCGATAACCGAAAGCAATATCCATTTTGTTGCCATTCTTTTCTAGCAAAATGCACATTGGGCAAAAAAGTTTCACTTCTAGGTAATACCTATGTATGTATGTATATGTACTAAGTATATAGACGACCTCTCAATACATCCCTCCAGCAGAATTCGTTTTAATGAAACACGTCTGTGTGTATTGATGTACGAGTATATGTCTGGCTGTCTGTGTGAGCGCGGCCATTTTGTTTTGGCTGAGCTGCGCGTGCGACATCAACTGACATTTAAACAAATCGCAAATTTATTATTGGAACAGGACCAACAACAGGAACAACGAGAACAGCTTGCCAACATTTTAACATATTCAACGCACGCGCTACTTCACGTTTCCAACTTTGGCCAACTTTAATCAGTTAACTCGACTTATTTAGATTTATGGGCCCATGCCGTTGAGGTCATTGGGGCCATTGCGGCCATTGAGGCAAAATAAATGAGGCCCATACAGCTCACTAATCTGTTGCCACTTACTCTAATCAACAGTTGGTTCGGTTGTCGACTGACCATGGCGCTGGCCCTGTTCGCCTACATGCCGTACATAGCCGCTCAGTTTTATCCGCGCTTCGAGACCCTCATACCCGCGGCTCTGATGGTGGGCTTTGGTGGCGGGCCGCTTTGGTGCTCCAAGTGCACTTATCTGTCCACAGTATCGGAGGCTCTGACCCAAGTGCGTGGAAGCAACTCACGCAAGGATGTGAACACAGTTAAGTTCTTTGGACTGTTCTTCATCTTCTATCAAATGGCACAAGTCTGGGGCAACCTCATATCATCGTCCGTTCTGACGTTAAGCGGTGGCGAGACATCGCCCACGTCCCCATCCTCGAACAGCAGCGATTGGGAGCTGGAACCACTGGAGGCGAGCATAAGTCGTGTGGGTGAGCTGTGTGGTGCGCGCTTTTGTCCCGGTATTGGTGCCGAGGTCAACCCGAATCTGGTCCCGCCCGCCCCAGAGCAAATTCAATTGCTCAACTCCATTTTTCTGGTCTGCATGGCCGCTGCTGTAGTCATGATGATCTTTGGCGTTAGTTCCCTGAAGCGGTACGTATGAAATACTTGATTGTAGGTCCAACTCAGACCCCTCCTAATGCAACACCTGTTTTTTATTCTGCAGCTATGGCGTCAAGCGTGGGGATACGGGCGGTGGCATCTCTGGTCTGAAATTGCTCACCGTAACCATTAATTTGCTTCGCAAGCGTCGCCAAATACTGATGCTTCCAATTACAATGTTTATCGGACTGGAGGAGGCCTTTCTCGCCGTGGATTTCACACGCGTAAGTCGGAATAAGCTTTCGTTCACATTCACACTGCTTTATTGAACTCAAATGGTGCTTTTCAAAGATTTGAAATTTGAAAACACTGCTTTAATAAACATTCACTATGCTTTTCAAAGATTAAAATTTAAGAAACAATGCTTCAATAATCTTAATTGTCCTTTTCAAAGGTTTGAATTTAAAAACACTGCTTTAATAAACTTAAGCCTACATCTCAAAGATTTGAATTTTAAAAACACTGCTTTAATAAACCTTCATTGTGCTTTTCCAAGATTCAAACAAACACTTCTGTTCGATAAGAAATTGTTTTCTGTTAAGCTGGGACACAAACCCTTACTCATTTGCAGTCCTTTAAACCTAAATGCTGCTTTTATAATATTGAATTAAAAAAACACTGCTTTAATAAACAAAAATTGTGCCTTTCAAATATTTAAAAACACTGCTATAATAAACCTAGATGGCGTTCTTAGAATTTTTCAATTTGTAAATAAAAGAGACGAGGTTCTTTTTCATTAAGCTGAGACACAAACCTTTACTCATTTGCAGTCCTTTGTGGCCTGTGGCTGGGGCATCTCAAAGATTGGCTTCGCCATGATATGCTTCGGCATAGCGAACGCCATAGCAGCGGGAATAGCAGGCGCACTGGTCGAGCGCATAGGACGTGTCTCGCTGGCAGCAATGTGTGCCATCCTGAATCTCTGCCTGCTCACCTACATGTACAGCTGGGAGGCGCGAGAAGGCGACTACGTGAGGTATTGCGCCTTTGCAGCCGTTTGGGGAATTTGCGACGGCGTGTGGCTGGTTGTTGTCAATGGTGAGAAGAAGCTTTTGAGGGAGTTCTAAGGCAGCTTTTAGTAACTTTTGCACTGCTTGTTCAACTTCTGTCCGCAGCGTTTTATGGCATCTTGTTTCCGAAGCACTTGATTGCCGCTTACAGCAACTTCCGCCTGTGGGAGAGCACTGGTTCGGTTATTGGCTACGTCATCAGCTCCCAGCTCTGCACCTCCACCAAGTTGGTGGTCTTGATGGCCGTAATGCTGGTTGGCTGTGTTGGGTGAGTTCGATTGGAAAAGTAGTGCCAATGTATTACCACTAAATGGAACTTTTATTTGCAGTTACGGACTCATCGAGTACCGCGTCTGGCAGAAGCAAAAGAACCTGGACGCAATGCTAAGCGACTGAAATCCCTCGAATCCCTTGCCATTCCATTTAAATATTTGTGATATGCCCACCAACAGCACAAAAACTCTACATTTACGTTAAGAATCACTAAAATTCTGGAAGAAGAAAGTTTTGTGGCGTTATCTATGAGGAACACGTTTATAAATGAGGAAATGAAATTAAATATAATGTAAATAATTATGTATAATTTGAAGGAAAAAAACAATAATAATAATAAAACAATAACATTAATTATAAATTGTAGAACTAAACCTGCCCCATTTGTAAGTATATAGATTTTTAGGACTCCCACATATTAGCAATACTTTCCACAATCATAAACAAGACAAAACAACATATTTACAAAAACAAATAATTTCAATTTTGTTCATTTTTGTGTAAAGTGTAAAATTTCAAATTAAGCTATACCTCTCAGGATCTCTTTGTTTTCTCAAAACGAGAATGCGCAGGACTATCCCTATGGGACTTCCATATATTTAAGTAAATGAAAAGACCACACGGGTATGCAAGTGGATATCTAACAAGTTTTCATAAAGAAGTTTGATTTAATCCTCCTAATGCTCTAAAAATAACTAATGATACCATGTTATTAAAACTATAGCATTTATTCAAGATAATCCTTCTATATACTCTTCTTCTTAGTCAACAGAGCCTTGCCAGCATGTCTGTCCGTCTGTGTATGAACCAAAGAATCTTGGAAAGTACATACATATACAGACATATTCCATTAAAATTTGCTTTATTAAATTTGTATCCTCATGTCACCCATGTCATCGAGCTGGGTTTTGTCTCTGCAGAAAGTTATAGCCATAAATGTAGTCTCTGTGCATGACGCACCCAGACACGCACAAACAAAAGCAGATGCAAATGGACCCACATATTATTCGACGCTACTAGAACTTAACATTGACATCAGTTAGTTAAAGAGTTGTAATTGTTATTGAATTCAAACAGATTTTAATGTAATTGCGATTTAAATGCAATCGGGAAAACCAAGTTTAATATAGATTGGAATTGCTTTAGTTTTAGATTTAGGCTTAACATATACATATCTACATCCACTAAGAAATAATCAAAGGCCGTCAAATTTTATATTTGAATTTTGTAAATGAAAAACATTGAATAGTTTTTTTATTAGTTTTTTATTACAATTGTTTAAATAGGTCTTTTTATTCTTCAGTAATTTCTGTGTGTGTGCTTTTCTTTCACTTTTGCATTTCGCATTTTTCATACTCGTACTTGTATTCTTTGTTCTGTTTCATTTAAATCGCTACATTAATTTGCTTAGTATTAGGCTTTCGTGCGCTACGAGTACCATACAATTAGTTTGCTAGCCAAATTATAGATTTCCCTTTATTTAAGATTATAATTTGTTAATTTACTTTTTAAAATAAAGTACACTTACACATACAAGTTTTTATAGCCAACGCATTAAATGCAACTGTTTTTCTCGCTCCCTCCCTTCCTCCTTTCGTCCCTTTTGACCCTTTCGTCCCTTTCGATCGCTCCACTTCACTGGCCACTCGAATCGAGTGGTTTCTTGTGGATTTGGTTTTTGGGCTTAGTGATAGAAATGTTGATGTGGAAACTTTAGCTGATTATACAGAGATAGGGGCTTCGAGAGATTAGATTCTAATTTGTTTTTGTTCGCTTTTCACGTTCTTCATCATTTTGGAATGGCACGTTTATGTCAAAGAGCTTGCCAGGACAAGTCTGCAGCGACTCTAGACTGCAATTAGGCAATTTTGGATATGATTTAATTGATGAAATTGATTAAACTTGGGGGCTCTATGCTAATCCTTATGTCGTCTCTCATAAATACTATGACACACTTTTGCTTTACATGGCCTAAATACTAGATACTAAATGTGTTTAAAACTATCACATAATACAATACAAAATACACACACGTACACGAACACGTACACTTACTCATACACAAACACATTCACATCGCTATATATAGTACTATATACATTAGACTGCGCCTATTTACACGCCCAACTAGACCATACCCTTGGACATCATGCGCACTGTATTTTTAAGGGCCTGTCGCTTGTTGCAGAACCAAATGCGAATGACTTCGCGCTCGTAGCCCAGTTGATGAGCCAGGCCGGTGATCTCGGTGCCTATGAGTGGAGTGGAGTAGAGAGAGAGGGAGAGAGAGTATCTTTGATTAGAGATGCACAGAAAAGAGAGTGCGTGTTGGGTATCTGAAAGTTACCGCCCACTCACCCGATGGATGCGTATTGCGCTCGAAGTGCGCATTGAGCAGCTCCAGGGCCTGGGGCGTGAAGGAGGTGCGGCGCTTGCGCTTCTTCGATGGCTCCACACCTATGTAGTCCGTCAAATGGTTCTGACCCGACTTGTACCGATTCCAGTGGCTAAACAATGGAGTGGGGAGGAGGAAAGGGTTGATTGTTAGTCGAAATTGCTTAAATTGTGGTCCAAACGACGCGTGGAACTGCCTCCATACTCTCACCTCTCTTCGGCCTCCTTCATCCAACGCTCCAACACGGGCTTTATTTTCTGTGCGCTCTTTGGTGTAATGTCCAGTTTCTCAAACCTGCATTGATAGTAGCGTGGCATTAGCATTTACATACAAGTAGACTTAGCATTTGTGTATGCGTGTATGCGCAAGTCGGGAGAACAACAAAAACAGTTGTAAGGAAAGTCGTAACTAAAGTGCCAGGACATTGTCAAGTAGCATATATTTCATTTCTTTTCGTTTCTTTTTTGTTTGGCAATCGCCCGAAATGCATTCTTCAAGTGTCTGTTGCTAAAATTGCACCTTGGCAATGCCCTGGCCAATACTTTAAAGGACTTTATATTTTAGTTTGTTTTGTTTTTGAAAAGCGCATACTTAAAAAAGTTGAATTCAAAAAGCAAAATAATTGTGAAAAGAAATGTCATTAATTAATTAATGCTCGACACATGCTCTTGCACTTTAGTTAGTTGAGTTTTAGTTTTCGTTTCCGTTTTAGTTTTTAGTAGTCTTTAATGACATTACACACACACAAGCAAACAAGCAAACACACACACATACATGTTCTGTTGTTGCGTCGACAGCTGAGCGGCGTACATCTGAGCAGCGAGAGCGCTGCTCGCATTGTGAGGACATGATTTGTTTGATTGATTCATTGATTCATTGATTGATTGATCGATCGATCGATCGATTGATTGATTGATTGTTCGATTGTTCGATTGGTGTTTGCGTGTACCAGGGACGAGAGTTGGCGTTCGATTCAAAAATAAACAAATAAAATAAATAAAATTAATTTAGCATTATTATCCACTGTCAATTAGTTTAGCATTAAAAAATGATTAATATCTTTAGCATTAATATTCTCTTGTTCATAGTAGCTTGGTATATGTCCTGGCACTCTAAAAATATACATATGTTTTCCAGAAATGCAATACGAGTACATTTTAAATTTCATAACAATAAATGATTAAAACTAAAAATTTCAGCAATTTTGCTTCTTTCCATCATAAAATTATAATAATTTTTAATAATGTGCCAGAAATCAAATCCAGTTTTGTGATTAAGAAATGTGCAGTTTCAACTGTTTCTCTCTTATAAATACTACTTATAAGTATACCGCAATTGATTTCTGGGAAACGTGATTACCTCTCCCTAAAATCTCATATGAATCCAACAAGTACAGTGGACGTCCTTACACATTAGTGCAATCTAGTTCCAGGGTCGATTGTAGATGTGTGGATCTTCAGTGATTTTCAAATAAAAACTTAAATATTCGCAAAGAAACAAAAAGGGGCCGTTTACCCGGAACTACAAAACTAACAGTTCAATGCAATATTACTTTTGTAACGAGATCCTTGAATCTAATCTGAATCGTTTTATACTCATTATTTTCGATAATAGCATTTGTTTATACCACATATATCAGAGCTACTATGATAATTTGCCGCTTGGGAATCTGGCTAGTGAAATGCTACAACAACTACAATATATATTTTATTGCAGCTCTAAGGTTAAACTTTAAAATAGAAATTCCGGTGCAGAGAATGTAGGAGAAGTACGATATCTAATGGGGGCCTACGCATAAAAAGATTATTATCTGAAATCGACCACACATTCATTATTATCGGCCACTATTTCGCCTTAAAATTGAGCTGAGTTGGATTTGTTGAAGTTTTTCTGTTGATCGTATGAATAAATTATTATTTTGACACACCGAGCAATATTCAATATTTTTTATATCTAACGACATTTGTATGCAAAAATAAAAATAAATAAACTTTAATACTTTGAATTCATTTGGAGTGCAATGCTGTAAGGGCGTCCACCATATGAAGTTTATCTACAAAAAATTGGAATTGGATTTAAACTAATGGCAGTCTATCGCTAGCAGGTGTGAGTGTAAGAATATTCTGCTCGCTGAACTGGAATTCCTAGCTGGTATGTCTAATTAATTCTTAGTCTTCCAATGCAACTAGAATTGCAACTAAATTTCGTAAAACTAACTTACACACAACTCGCTATGCATTACTTCAAACTCACCTGCATATGGCACTCTGACTGTACGCGGGTCCCTCGGTAACGGACAAGGCCTGTCCCACCTGGGTCTGGGTGAGGCCCAGCGATAAGCGACGGAGCTTGAACGCTTTGGCGAACTCCTTGATCTCATCCAAATCGATGCCGTCGACCACATTCGTGGTGGCCTGATTGATGGTGGGCTCGTCTGTAAATGCGGCACATATACCGGGAAAGGGTAAAAGTTAACAATGCATAACACTAAGGCACATCACAACAGCAACAGCAACAGCAACAGCAGCAACAACAACGAGCAATGCTTAAGTGGTACTTAATTCCTAACTAGAAATGGCGACTAGCCAACAAATTAGTAAAACGTTTGCTGCTTGGCTCGCAGCTCGTTCGTCTGCCACTCGAGTAATGACTGTCAATGCGAAATGACAACATAAATTGTCGGAGTGTCGCAGCTTAATTACAGTTAATTGCGGTAATTGCAAAATATTATTAGAGGACGTAGCAGCGCCAGGTAAATTGATAAAACTCATTTTCAAGCCGGCAGACAGAGAGACACAGAGAGAAGAGGAGTGTGGGGAGAAGGGAGAAGGGAGAAGGGAAGGAAGAGCAGGTCTACTATACAAGCATATACATACTACTTGGATGAAGACCCTGTCGTTCGTTCTTCCTGTTATGTTTGTCTATTAAGTAAGCGCAAACTTATTGCTTTTATCTGCTTAATTTGTTAGCAGCTGTTGTTGTCAACGCGAGCAACAGCAACAACAACAACAACAGTGATAGCGACAGCGACAGCAAAGACAACGCCAAACTACTCGCCTAGAATTTTGATTTATTTATTAATGATATGCAACAATAACAACGCCAACAACAATGACGAGGGCAATACGCAATCCCAGCATTCACTTCACAACTGCCTCGACAGCCTCAGCAGCTCTGCAGCTCTGCAGCTTGAGCTGCCTCGACAGGCTTAGCGGTAATTAAGATGCGCACTGCCTTTGGAGCGTCTGCCATCGAGGACGCAGGAGACGACGACGCATCCTTGCAGCAACTTGAGCCATCGCGGCTTTTATTGTTGTTGTTGCTGTTTGCTGTTGCTGTTGTTGTTTGGCTGTTGTTGGGCGAGTGAAATATGTCATTAAATACGAAAACATCTTAAGTTTTTGTATGCATCAATTAGTAGTAATTAAGCTGCATATTGTCTGCAATTTGCATGCGGCACGAGCTCGAATTGCGGATATAAACAACCAGCTGTGTGGTTGAACGAGTGTACACAAGTTCGTGGTGATTGAGGAGGAGTGAGACGCACGCCATTAGGAGTAGGCTAGGTATTAGGGTTTAGCATATGCTTGAATCTTTGACTCTTATTCTTGCCTTTGTTACAATTTCCATGCAGCTAAAGCACCAAAATGGGTTACATGCGGTCGATTGCTTCAACGCATTGTACTACGAATTGATAACGAGCCATAAGCTAGAGAGAAACAAGTAATACTTTAACAAAAAAAAAAAAAAAAAACCGAACAAATTTATCATTTTAAGTGACATAATGCTTCGAGGATGATTCTGAAGTATCAGCATCCTGTTCAGGAATAGAATTGTCGGCTTTTTGGACGTAATGAGATAAGTTTAATGCACCTGAACATCTCTGTAAATATGGTTATTGCAAATTAACCAAGTTAATGCTCGAGTCAACCACCATAACCACGTCAATGCGAATTTAAGATTTACATATGTATATAGTTTTCGAGATGATAGATGAGATGATGAGATGCGATTACACGTCTTAAATAAAATAAAAAGAAATAAAAAAAAAAGTCAGTCGAAAGTTCTGAGGTAACAAACATTAAAAAAATATATCCATCGAATTGAGAACCTCCTACTTTTTTTGAAGTCAACTTAAAAAGGGGGGAAATCTTTGTCACATACAACCATAACTATTTGCAACATTTTCTTTGAGCTACTGTTTTCGAACACTGTAAAAGAAGGGCCAACTAGCACTTACTGGACCAAATGGTTAACGGTTTGATTTCTTCATAGTTTACAAATATGCTTTAAAAGTGCATTCCAAGGGAGTGTCTAGTAATAGAAAAAATGTCACTCCCCTTCAAAATTGGCACATTTTGTTTACATATTTTGCAAATTCAATTCAATTTCCCAGCTGCGGAATTAAGGTACTTCAATTACAAATTATTGTATTGATTCCGTACTTAACAATGGCAGTTCTGGGTACGCAAAAGTCACTTTTCCGTATTACAAATGGAAATGCATTTTCATTCCTCGGCTGTATGGTGTCAGGAAGAAGAGAAGGGCTGGACTTGCTTATCTCGTTGAGATGCAGGGAATATTGAACTACCATCGGTATCAAATTAATATAAAAAATAACCATTAACTAGTAATGGCACACAAATACCACAGATTCCTGTTTAAAAGGGTTTCGCCCATAAAAATGTGAAACAATGGAAGTACTTATCCAAAACAAAATGAAGTAATTATTGAAGAAAACCATTTGCTTACACGAATCCTCTATGAATGTTTGCCGGTTTTTTTAGCGGGTTTCTGGTCGAAAAAAAAAACAGCTACATATGTACACAATTAGACAGCATATTCAAAATTCAAACATCAATTTAAACCCAATTGGGTTGGGTGGCGAGCATACGAGTACACGAAATTCGAGTGGCAGGTGGAAACTCAATGGGAGTTGGTCGTTGGGCGAAATGTATAATTGGCGTTGCTAATGATTTGATGTGTGTGTATACTATATGGGTAGTAGGTGTGTTGAAGAGCTGCAGCAATACATTTCTCGATGCCCAACACTCGTAAGCAGCAGGGCGTATGAGTGATATGTGCGAGTAGATGCATGCCAGTATTTTGGGGCAACTTTTTCAACATTAATTAACAAAATTCGAGAGAAAACTTTCGTTCGGGGCTTAAATAAAAATAAAAACACAAGCAGTCTAACAAGTTCACTCTAGTTTATATAATTTCCAGAGCAGTGATTGCAGTGATGCTGGCGTTGGCGTGGCTGTGGGTGTGGGTGTGGGTGTGGCAGCCAAGCCAAGGGCTTGCATCTTGACATGTGAGCAAAAGTTTTGCTGCGCATTTACACAACTGCGACTTCAACGACTTTCAAGACGCAATTCATAATTGATGTAGCCACGCGTCTTGAGCGCATCAGCTAAGTCATCGGATTTTCAGCCTAGGGCAGAGCAGTGCAGGGCAGGGCAGGGCAGAGTTTCCGCCAAGTTCCCACATGTCGAGCCAAAGTGTTGGGCAAATTAGCAATGGCGTTGAAGTTGTCACGCCGACAAAGAAGACAGCGAACGCCTGTCAGCCCAATTTTGTCTAAGTTGATGTAATTAGCAGCAAGTTTGTGATATGGATAATAATAGCATATGCTTGATGGTGCCAATGAATGGCAATCTCGATCTATGCAATATAGTATACTGAATCATTGCATGACAATATGGATGGCATTCTTAAAAATTTTTGATGCAATTAATTCAAGTTTTCCAATTTTGTGGCATTAGGGTAAAAATTTCACTTTTTCTATCTAAACATACCTTACAACTCAGCCAATAGTCATGATTTATGGTAAAAAAAAACCAAAAAAATAAATAAAAATAAATATAATGAGTATTAAGTTTTTTTTTGCTCAAAAATGAACCTCAAGGTGTAATTTTGCCTTTTTCATTGAATACGGACAAAATTTATATATATCCTTAAAAAATTAGCAATGCGAAACCTTTCAGTTTACTTTTGAGCTTATAAGAAAACATGCTTAAAAAATATATATTCATTACACAAAAAAAAAATTTAAAAGAACTTCAGCTTTATTTTTTGATAAAAAAAAATCAAAGAATAGTTATTGTTTTTAAGTTTTATTTTGTTCCTCAAAAATATGGTTAAGTTGTAAAATATACCTCAGAGCTAATCAATATATTGTGAGAGAGTGCAAAACAATTTAAATGTTTGAATCATGGTGTTCGTATAATCCTCGCTTTCCAAAAGTTATATTATACTTACAAAATAACAAAATAATACGCTTTGGGTTTATTTGAAAGATTTTAAAGACATTTTAAAGTAAGTCTTCAGAATCTTATATTCAGGCAAAATAAATGAATAAATTCAAGACAAATTCGACATCTAATGATACTTCTGCTGCTTCTAGGTGTTGGTTAGTACACATATGAAATGAACATCGCAACGAAAATTGCCATGCAGCGATGTATCGAAAAACTTAACATCGATACATCGATTTTTCATAAAAATGTGTAATGTAAACAAGAGATGAAAGAAAACGACGAGCGTGATAAATTCTCCTATGTGTATTATATGCACCCGAAACTATTGTGCCCTTTGGTTACGGGGTGTACAAAGAAGCTAGGAGCGTATCTTTGCATTAATTTCAAAATGTATACATATTCAAAAATATGTGTTATATTAATAAGTAATATTAATAATATTGAATATTTAAAATGCACAATGCTAAAGAACTGATAAGACACCATTCCAAAGTAAGGTGGTATTCCCAACATCATTAACATCATGTTAATTCCCGTTAGTTTTAACAAGGCACGCTTTTTAAATTTCAGTCAGTCTTCAGCCTTGATGGTTCCGGCGTGATTCGAACCAAAACCCTACTAATAAGCAAACATTGTGGGATTCCTGCTAGCTCGTTAAGGATATGCTAGGATCCGAATTTACGATTGAAATGGGAATAACAACTTGCTCTGGCATGGTTTTTAGCAGTTCTTTAGCACTTTTTTTTGAAACAAGCCATATCACAGTTTTATAACTTTTGTGTATTTGCTGGGATTTCTTTGCTTAGGAATGTCCGTAACATCGACAATTTTATAAACATCGATCGCAACATCGAGTTAAAATCGAAAACAATCGCTTACGTTAAAATCGATACATCGATGTATCGATGCATATTTACATCCTAAAGTTATTTTCATTCTGTGCAGTTTCTAATACAAGCAATCCTACATATATCTTTAAAACCTGACTTAAAGTATGACTTAAGTGTTGTTTTTGGATCTGAAGCTTTTGTGAAGAGCCATCTTCTGGTATACAAGTATTTGGGTTCAAGTGGGGTCTTTGGTAGGCTCTTTTATGCTGGGTTTAAAGCTACACTAACTTAGCCACTAAATGCATCTACTATGTATTGAAAAGAGGCGATCTTTACTCACTCGGGGAGTCCATAAGCAGGTCGTTGTCGTTGTCATTGCCATCAGGTGACAGATGCGGTGGTTCGCTGCGGGACGAGGGGCTCAGCTTAAGCGGGTGCATGAGGGAAGCGCTCGACGTGGATGGCCCGGGCATGGGTGAATCCCCTCGTGGCGAGGCCGAGGCAGGTCGTGTGGCCGTTGCTGTGGGTGGGCCCAGTGATTTTGTGATGGTCAGCTCGCCATTGCTAGCATTGAGCCTGAAAATGAAAAATAGAAATGCATGGAGATTAAGATTTGTGAGAGAGAAGTGCTTGTATGTGCCACTCACCTGCTGATGCTGCTAAGTACGTTGGCCGTGGAAGCTGCCGTGCAGGTTGTGGCTGTGGCAGTGGCACAGCTCGAGCTTGTGCTGCCACCCACAATTGGTCCATTGCCTAGATAGTCCCGCTCCAGACGCGGCGAGTTGCCCATGTTGAGTGCATGACCCGCAGGCGAGTGAGCCGAGCGAAATAGCGGGGATGAGTAGCCTCTTTCGTTGCTGCCGCTGCCGCCACCGCTGCTGCTGCCACTGCTGCCGGCAACACCAGCATTAGCTGCGGCGGAGCTTCCAAGCGAAGATGTTGTGGGTGTTAAGCGACCACCACTGGAGCCCACTCCACGCTCATGTGACAGCCCATGGTGATGGTGGTGCAGCAGTGAGCTTTCCCGACTTCCACTCGTCCCGACGCTGGAAGCCGATGATGCCACAGCTGCTGTAGCTGAGCCGCGTATAGCCGTCGCTGTAGGTGTTTGTGCCCGACGCTCCTGCCGCTCCAGTCGATCGTGGTGCTGGCTGAGATTGATGCCAGAGCTGGCAGAGCTGCCGCTAGCCCTGTTCGGACTGTGCTTCGGTTCACGTGTCAGGCTGCTGCTTGGAGACACTGCTGCACTGCGCAGATTGTGGGCGAAGTGATGCCGCGCAAGTGCCGCCGTTGGAGCCGGTGGCGAGGAGCTGGCACTTAGCTCCAGCGGCTTCATCTCCAGCTTGGGCGAGGTCAGCTCGTCCGTGTGCCGCAAGCTTATTTGCGGATGCGCCGACGGCACGGCTGGCCCCAGCGAGGGTGGTGGCGGCGGCGGTGGTGCATGCAAGTGATGGAAATGGGTTTGGGTCTCCTGCTTGATGTGCAGCTGCTGTTGCAGCAGAAAGGCAGCAGCCGCCGGCTTGCTACTGACCGCTGCAGCTGCAGCAGCTGCTGTGGGCGAATTGGCCGGCGAGGTGCGTTCTGCAGAACGTCTCAGGTCCGTCGCATGGGCATGCGGATGGGCATGGGCAGGCAGATGCGGCAGGTGACCGGCAGCCGCTGCCGCAGCTGCTGCCAGTTGTTGTTGCTGCTGCTCGCGCTGTTGCTGATGATGGTTGGCTGCAGCGGCGGCAAACAGCTCCGGGTGGAGCGCCGTCAGTAGCTGCTGAACGCCTGTTGAGAACAGATTAGGCTTCAATAAATTCGTCGGTGTTTGTGCCAGTTGGGGCAGCGCGGGCGCGTGCTGCAGTGCGGCCAAGGGAGGCGCCAGAAGCTCACGCTGATGCTGCTGCTGCTGCTGCTGCTGTTGTTGTTGTTGATGTTGTTGCTGCTGCTGCTGCTGGTGCTCGCGCTGTTGCTGCTGGAAACTAGCATAGGCGCCGAATGCGTTCGGCAGAAACTGTTCACTGGTGGGAATTTGCGGACTCACAGGTATGGTCAGAATTGTTTGCACGGCAATTCCTGCAGAGGTATCAAGGTAAAGAAAAATTTAATTAAATATTTTATGCACTCGCATGAATGCATGTGAAGACGAAACAGCTATATGTTTAAGCCACTCCAAACATTTCCGTGTCTAAGCAAATCATTTTTCACTTATACGAGTAGTTATACTTGGACTACAAACATACAAATACAATAAATAAATAAATAAAAAAGTTAAGTAAAAATAAAAATCGTGTTCTTCTAAAGGTTTTATCTTCTCCCGTTCCCGCGGCCCTTCTAGTGAATCTGCAAATGGGGTACTGCTCTATGGTTCATAAAATCTTCTAACCCCAAAAGGGTTCATTGCTCGACTACTGTTCCATTAGGGCTTAGATATGCGACAATATTGGTTGTTTTTTTCGATAGTCCTAAACTGGACGTGGCGCTAATGTGAATCTAGTGTTGATTCAAAAATCATGTATCACATATTCCTCTTCTTCTTACTCTGATCAGAAGTAAATAAAAGTGTTTGCTTCTTCCATTCCATTAAACATTTTAAATATAATTGGCGTAAGTTATTGACAACATTTTTGTGAAAGTCTGTTTAAATATAAAATTTGAATTTAAAACTTAAGCTGATTAGAATTATCAGAGGGTCTGCAATTGTGCAGCATAAGTCGCTGAAGCTTATCATAATACTGGTATGTATAAAGGAAATTGAAATTTGTAGCCCAACTTGCCTAATCTTTCTAGCTTTCAGCGCAGTTCAAAGGCACGCTACAGTTTTCCCCTAATAACCACTAAACGCCAAGCCAAGTCAAGCCAAGTCAACTATGTTATTGATACTTGTGCGCACCCACACAGACACACACACACACACACACACACGTGCACTAATCCTTTTCGTACTCACCTTGGGCCGTGGGTATGAGCAGCTGGGCTCCCTGCACACCCTGCACCAATTGGCCGGAGGCCAAAATCAGCTGCGGCATTTGCGCGCTGGCTGGCGGGGCTTGCAACGCTGGTGGCGGCGATGAAGATGCGGTCGCTGCCGCTAACACATTGGCCAGCGTCGTCGCATTTAGGGCATGTGGTGAACTGCTGCTGGGATTATCCTGCGGCTGATGCTGTTGGTGCTGTTGGTGCTGCTGGTGCTGCTGACTGCCGCTTCCGCCACTGCCCGTGTTGCTGCCAGTGTTCGACTTTGATGTCTTCTTGCTGCCGTTGTGGCAGCTGTTGGTGGGCGAGCAGTTGCCCGTTGCCGCCGCCGTCGCCGCTGCCACAGCTGCTGATGTTGTCGTTGGCACACTGCCTCCTCCAGCGCCAGCGACAGCGGCAGCAGCAGCGGCAGCAACCTCTGCGCCAACGCTGAGATTCAGTGGCGAGTTGAACACGGAGGCGGCGCTGATGCCGGCGGCTAAGCCCTGAAGACTTGCCAATGCGGCGGCTGTGGCAGCGCTTTGGGTGTGCGAGTGGGCATGTTGATGCTGCTGTTGGTGATGATGATGTTGCTGTTGCTGTTGTTGCTGCTGTTGATGTTGATGTTGCTGCTGCTGCTGCTGTTGTTTTTGTTGCAGGGTAGCTAAATTTTGTAATTTTTGCAAATTTATCATGTCTTGCACTGCGGAGGAGACAGACAAAAGGGTCGAGACAAAATGTTGCCATTAGTTGTGGACAATGAGCAGGCATCCAAAAATTAGTTGGTAGGTATGGTATGTGATGTACGTGTACTCGTACAATACAAGGAGTGTAGTACGTGTAGAGCAGCCCTACAAGCATCGCACACTAATTGCTTGCATACTTCTGGATTGATGCAGCGTTTGTGTGAGTCAGTCTGTACGAGTACTCGTGTGTACATGCTAATGGCGCTCAGACAGCCAAACATACAACAAATTGCATTTATTTCATATTGATTATAAGTAGCAAAGAAAAAATAATGTCTAGATCTGTTTATAGGATTTATAGGAATTCGCTCCAAATTGATGAAATTGCCTATAAATTAAATATTTCAAAAAAGCAATGCATTTTGAAAGGCTTTAAATGGATTTGGACAGTTTCTATATGTTACATCACTTGATTTTTACACCCATCCATCGTCTGTTCGACCGTCTGTTCGTCCGTCTGTTCGTCCGTCTGTTCGTCCGTCTGTTCGTCCGTCTGTTCAACCGTCTGTACGTTTGTATCAGCTCTTGAACCATAACAGCTAGGAATAGCAAGCTCGCTATGCTATCTATGCGCAGATCAAGATTATTACAATCCATTGATATTGTCATTATTGTATAGAGCTGCCATAGAAAATATCTTATCCACGACATCTTTGCTTATTAAGATATCGTAAACAGTTAGTTTCTATGGGGCCTGATTTTTTTGATAATCAGTTGACGATCATCGATCATAGAGTTGCTATTGGAGTGATTGGCCAAACATGGTTAAATTTAAATGTTCTATTCGTCATAATTTATTCGGCTGTTTGAACGCAATTGTAATAGTTATCTGTTTGAGATTTGGTTTCGATATGTACTCACTAGTTCCATTCAAGTGTGCTGCAAACGCCTTGGCCTGTGCCTGCTCTTCGCGCATGCGCAATGCCACAGATCCATGTGCTGCTAGTGTCGCCGCGTCCTCCTCATCCTCATCCTCGCCATCGATTTGCATGTGCACAGGCGAAATCTGACCACCCAGTGGAGTGCCACGTTGATTGCTAAGAGCTGCTGCCTTAGCAGCTAAATTCTTATAGAATTCCAGCTCCTTCACATGATCCTTGCTGTCGTACGGCGAATGGGCAGGCGATAGCAGTACATGTGGTTCCAAAGGGGGATCCAGATCATCGTCGTTGTTGTTGTTGATAGAGATATTGTTGTGGTGCTGGTGAAGATGTTGCTGACTGCCATTGCTGCTTGGCGAGTGTATTTTGTGACAGGCGATCTCTTTTTCATAGTCCTGCAATATTGAACATAAATTTGTATTTGTTAGTCCAATGTATAGCACTAAATAAAGAGGCAGAGGTATAGGAGCAAGTAAAGATCAACTTCATTTGAGCAACCGCCGTGATGTGCGTTCAGTATAATTAAGACATTTTAGCATCTGATTATACTAAATTAAATTTAATAGTTAAAATAGTTTATTATTAAATTTGGCAAAAAGATTAAATGGAGAGCAAACAATTATAGAAATGAAGATTGGCCGAACTGTTTTTCAGACTGGAGCTCTTAGTTTCAAACACAATTGCTCTGTCGTTTAAAAACTAATACAAGATTAAGAATTTAACTGAAAATAAAACTGCAATGCAACGACCATAAGTGATGATGAAGCCCCTCTAAACAGAATGGCTTCATATTTATAATTGAAAATAATAAGCTAGAATAAAAATAGTAAAATACTCCTAACGTTGCGCCCACTCCAGCAGTGTGGCATAAATGGGAACGTAGAAGGTACGTAACTTGTCAATGTATATTAAATTATATTTTGCACATTTTGTAATTGTATAATACTCGTATGATGCCACATTGTCAGTTTTTTTGTTCGCTGCCCGTATTCAGCACAGGGCTAATGATGTTGCGAGCACTTTGAGGCCCATACTACTGCATGCTGATTGGATTATGACTCGCATTCATGGAACGTCATACAAACATATATTACATTTCATTTTGTCAATTGAAAATTGTATTAAGCACTGCCCATTTTTGCCATTTTTACATAACAATAAATGCGAATGCGAGTCCATGGCTATGCGTTATTAAGTTAATTTAATTTTTGTTGTAATTGTCATCGCACTTTTATTGTTCAAAATAAATACGGGTGCTCGTATGTGTGTGTTTGTATGAAGACGTGCTTTGAGCCGCTTGTTTGGCGATTTATGCAAATTTAATTGGTTGCAATTAAATGAGTGTGACAGGAGTGTGCCTATTGTAGTGGCTGGGCTTACATAAATCAGTTCTGTTTCAACAGGGCTTAAGGTGTAATTATATCATCAGATCAGTGAACGAACTTCTATCCTAAATAGTTAGTAGCGTAAATTGTAAAAATTATGATTATTATTAACAAACCACGAACTTATTTAAAGACTTGCTTGGTTGCGAATAAAGGGGATTATAATATAAAAAATGAGTTTCTTTCCGAGTGAATTTAAATTTTTATTATTCCGTTCTTATTCTTAGATCGCTATGTTCAATTAGTTATTACTAATTAGCTGCTTAAGTTAATGATCCACATATTTTGTAACCATTAAATAAACTCAACCATGTACATTTTTTCTACAAAATATTTAAGTATTGCTTATTTAAGGGATTCTCGTCGTTTGCAGTCATTAGAAAAAAGCGAAAAAGAAGCAGCAAATACATATTTATAAGCGTTCGGTAGAAAAAATGTGCAAAAAGGTAAACCAATATAATTATTGGCAATTAATGCTGGCAACGGCCACCAACAACCGACGACAGACGACAGACGACTGAGGAACTGAGGAACGCCAGTACGAAGACAGGAACACATTAATGCCTGGGCGGAGCTGCTTATGCGCTGCCTTGGCGAGGTAGCCCCCATTAGTGCGGGTTGTCGCCGACATCGTCGCTGTCGCGTCCGTAGCCAGGGCTTCAATTAAATTTTATTTGCATAGGAAATTAACATAATTGTAGTGCAAAATACCCACCCAAAAAATAAAAATAAAACGGAGAAAGACCGAAGGAAAGCAACGGGAAAGCAATAAAAAAATAAGCAAGCCATTGGGAAAAAGTGTTAAATGCTGGGGACAGAAAACAAATATAAATAAATATAAGTGTTTGTAGGTGTTGCAAGTGCGGTAATTAAATGGTCATCCGTGTTCCCTCTTTTTTTAAACCGACTAATTTAAATTGTTCCCAGCAAGCAATCGAGAGTTTTATGCCACACCATTATCATTTAATTAAACTAGAAAATGATGTGTTCAGTATTTCAGCAAGTCTTGCAGTTGATTAATTTTTTAGAAAAAATCGTTTTTCAGTTGTAAAACAGTTTACAGATTTTAAACATTACTTATATACTTTTATATGATATTTACATCTATTCCGCGGTGTTATCTTAAATAACTTTTTTTTCGGCGCATAAAGTTTCTGGTTTAATACCGTGTTTTAGTTAATTAGTCAAGTTAGTCAATTATTATAGGTTTATTTAATTTCTAGTAAAGTTTTTCAAACCAACTCATTCCGCGAAATGCATTTAAAAATACAATAGATAGATTTGTGGGCATTCCCGTTACGTTGTGCGCCAATAAGTATGCTACGTCATCGTTATTTTTGCTCGAGCAAATAATTAAGGGCGTGATAAATTGCATTGTATCGTGTGAAAACTACATTAAAAATTGACATTTATTGGCGCCGTCAAAGCTGCAATAAAAAGAAGAACTACGTACTTAAGCAACAGCACCACCAGCCAGAAGCAAATTCATTAAAAAATTCTAGCAGGAAAAAATGGAATAGCGCTGTGTGTGTTCGTGTGTTTGTGTGTTTGTTGGGGTCCATAGTCTAGTAGTTGCTGGTAGTAAAAAGCACGTTAATGCCATTGAACAGCAAATCGAACTAAATTTATGACACAAGCGGCGAACGAGGTAGCAGAAAAAAAAGTGAATGTCCTGCATGTGTCCTTTATGCACACACACACACTCGCAGCACTGCAACAAACAGACGGTCAACGTTGACAGCGACACTATGGCTTACTTGTATGTGTGCGTGTGTATGTGTGGGCGAGTGGGCGAGTGGGCGCTCATTGATGTGCAATGAATTAACTTTTCAACATATTTACACACGCTCAATTGAACGGGCAGGCGGATAGTGTGCCACATAGTGAGGCGGGAGCAGCCCGCAGGCACATAAGTTGAAGGAAAAATATACATATAGCACATTCCCATAATGAGGCGGCGAGTACGGCAGAGCTTTTGTTTTCAGCTGCTCGCAAATAAGCGGAAATTAAAAACCTGATTTAACATTAACGTACGGCGTGCCCAGCGGGAGGGGATAGTTGGAGGGATGTTACAGATATATTAAGTGTGTTAGTCAAATTACTGTGCTCAGCACAGGAGCTATTATTATTAGTGGAGTGCTGTTTTGTGCCCCAACTTGTGAAGACAGACACAGATATAAGGTAAGGAGATATAAGGTAAGGAGTTTCTAATGAAGACTAAGGTTGGAAAGCCGTACAAGAGATGCACTGCTTCACCGTGCTCCTGAAGGTAGTTTGCTATTTTTGCTGGGTAGATTCTTAAGACTTTTTAGCTACCGTTTTACCTTCTTTTTAAACTTCCAATAATTTCACTAAGCTTCTGTGCTGCCATACCCGCCCATAAAGGATTTCATTAACAGGTATTTCAAAGTAAAATTCAGCAGATCATCACTTCGCTGGTGGGCACTAGCTTACCGAATAGCTTTTCCACTGACCATTGGAGCAGACCTCTATGACGTCAACCAAACTCGAATGACCCGTCTGCATACCAATGTAGCCTTCTATGATCGATCTGGGACTAAGTTGATGCTACAACGCCTAGCTTTAGCCTCCCCCATCTGCCGTTTTTGTCCGATTTAACATTGGATGTTCACAGATATGCAGAGTCCGCATATTTGTGACCGATGCCCGAGGTCTCCTGTCGATCGGGGTAATTTGTGGGAGTGCTCTTCTGCTTCAACACAAAATGTAACTGGTGAGCTTATGGCAATGGCAACAGACAACTTCATGCCACAACGACAAGACAACAACAAGAATCAAACATATAGCGATAGCAACAACAACACCAACATTTCATGTCCACTCGAGTCCAGTCGAAAACTTTTACTTTTACGTTTTTATTTTGCACGTGAGGAAAAATAAAAAAGGAGCAAAAAATAGAAAATGAATTGAATTGAATTATTGCAAAAAACAAATGCGAGCAGAGACAAATGGCAGTGGAGATGGGGCAGGGGGGCGGGGAAGGGGGAGGGGGAGGGGCAACAGTGGCGAGCACTTGACAGCCTCGTGATAAGCAAAATGCCCCGGCATATAAAATGAAATGCTGTGGCGGCGTCGAACTTTTGTTCCCTTTGCTTATCCGTCTCTCTTCTTATTATACAGCGTTTGCTGGCATTCGTTTTATTTTTTTAATGCCTGCTTTTGGGCGCGACACGAAATTATAATTCACACTCACACATGTGACCACCCGAATGGGGGCGGGTGGCTGCTCAAATTGCTGGCCATTTGCATGGACGACCGACCGTCGGTCGGTCGGTCGGTCGGTCGGTCGATGGTCTGCTGTTGAAAATGCAATTGCCAAAAAGTAGCCAACAAAAAATAACGCGGCAAAGTGAAAAGCAAGAAAAGCAAAATGCGTTCAGGCTGCCGAACGTCGCCTGTTTGCTTTAATTGCAAATGGCATTTTTGGGTGCGCGTTACAAGCGTCCACTCCACAGCACTCCGCCCACCCTCTCCCCCTCCCCTACCCAATGCTTTTCACACTGCACTCCCTTACCACCCCAGTGAGCTGCTTCCCACACGACGCATTGAGGCAGCCCATAAATTGTCGAAAAATATTTGACTTGTTCTATTTTTGGCTGCGGCAGCAATATGCTTTTTTGTCAGTGTGTGAGAGTTGGATGTGTGTGTGTGTGTGTCTGTGTGTGTATGTGCGATTGTACCTGCATCCATAACCAACGCTCGATTTTCACTCGCCTCGCCTTTGTCCATGTGTATGCAAACATTTTTGGTAGCTGCCGCCGTTCCCTGCACTTTTCCATACATATTTAATGTTTTGTTTAATGCAAATGTACATAATTTTAACAGAGTGTGTATGTGTGTGTATATATAGGTATGCTTGTGTGTGGTATACTATATGTGTGTAGTTGCAGTTGCATAGCAAAGCATTTCTTTTATTTTTCTTTGCCTGTTAAGTCGCAGAGATGTGAAAATATTTTTCAATTAATATTTATGTTGCTTTATATGCCCGA